GAGTACAGTAGAATCGCGATTATCAGATACCCCAAAAGTACAAATCAAATACAGATCGAGTGAACGAAGATAATATTGGACCTTCTAGACCAGCGGTTCCTAACCTATTTTGCGTTCTATTTGGCAGTTGATTTCCCTAAATTTTGTACCACCTAATACGAGAAAAATGGTTGTAATTTATATAATTGCTGTTATTCCAATTGTTATCGCGTACCTTTAATACCCCAATAACGTACCCTAGGTTGGAAATCGCTGTTCTAGATGAAATACCTGGAAAACCGTTTATCAGAATGGATTCGGATAATCGAGGTTCCATTGTGGTTCGAGAGAAGCCTTGATTTATGCTTTTTAACAGACACTCTCGTTTTCATAGGAAACGAGTTGGCCACTGGAGGTTGCATGACTGCATTATCATTTTTTAAATAGTAAGTTTGTCTAATAGTACTAAATCTTTAAATAGTGTAACAGTCCTAGATCACAAGACTTTTCTTCCATTCGAATATCATTGACTTTGTTGCAAAAGATATTTTCAATTTGGTGCCTGAGTTCGGTCAATAAATGGGTGCAGTAAATTTTGAACGAAATGTTATCGGTTGACAGTGTGTTAAAAGTGTACAGTAACACCTCGATTATTGGCACACGGTTTAATCTAGCGTTCCATTATCTGAACTTCTACGTAACGTCAGAAATACTTTTTAAGTGGATTTTTGTTAACATTCTCTATACATGTGAATATTGTACGATAAATAGCGATTTGTTGTTTTTATCAGTTTAAATAACCGAAACTTTATTGTACAATATTGTCCAGAACAAGCAGCGAATTTTATGGTAGTTGCTTATTGTAGCTACACTACCGCCTATTAGAAGTTATCAGTGCAGGATTTTATAATTCTGGAACCAGTGAAACGTTATTTTGTAACGATTTGATCCAAGTTGTGGTATCAGTAGGTATTATGCACTGTTTGTGGTCGGTTTTGGTATGTTAGTTTCGTTAAATCTTGGTAGAATCATGTTTTTCTGCTTCGTTAATTGTGACAATATACGGCTGACTGGTCGTTTGTGCCGCTTTTCCTTCTTTCGTTCGTTTTCTTTCCCCTTCGTTGTTTTTCGTACACAGGCTTATTTATGTTTAATCTTATGATTCAGTGGACTTGTCTATAGAAATAAGTAAATTGTTGCAGACAGAGTATATGTATATATTAGTATGGAAAATACCATAAGTTAGAAACATTTGGAATGTTCAGTAAATTCAACGTAGAGAGACTACTACTGAAAAAAGGTATAGTTCAGTAATTTTCATTTTTATATTCTGTTGGGAAAAAATTCGGAAACACTTGAAAATTTTAATAAAGTAACATCTTACTTTCTTGCTGATTTCAATTAACAATTAAAACTCTAATTAAAATCCTAATAAGAACTTGTATAAAAACTTACAATAAAAATTGTATAATCACTTCTTTGAAGTTTCCTATGGAATTTCCTATTAAAAAATCTTAATTAAAAGTTTCAGCGATATTTGTTGGAATTTTTCACTTTAGGGCTGCTTTTTGTAAATACAATTAGCTGTAGTTTTTTTTAAATGTAACTGTTTCATGAGGAAACCGTCGTTTCGATAATTTACTAAAATTGAAAGTATTCAATTAGTATTTAACGGTGTAATAGTAAATTATTTATAACTCATCTAAGTATAGTTTTGTTTCTTTCTCAAATTCCTCCACATAACGATAGTAAAAATTATGTTAACACTTGTGTGGAAAATTTAATTCCTACAGTCAAACGTAATTTGTCGTTCACAGATATTTTCACAATTATAACTAACTTCGTAGTAATAACGTAATATTTGTGCAATATATAATTCTCTACCGTTCGAGAACCTTTATTACTCATTGTCTATCCCAAAGTTAATATGAATTACGAATAGGCACGGTTTTCTGTGTACAGGAAGCATTGCAATTTTTGTTTTTTCATTGTGAATAAATTCGTAGATTTCCAACAATTTCTATTTCACTTTTGTGTAATTCAATGAAAGATCCTGCAAGCTATCGATCGATGTTTACACGAAATTCTTTGGATGTCTTCGTAGCTAAAAATGAGAGTGACTGAATCTCCCCTTTCACTGTTACCTCTGGATCGTGGATCCTTTATATTTATAGCATATGTGAATGTGGAAAATAAAATGAAGGAAGTACATAAAATTCTGACGATATCTTCAGGCTCGTCGGTATTTAATTGAATCATTCATAAAGGAAATAACGTTTCTCTTTAATGCGCATACCTCAATTAACATCAGTTAGCATGTTTGATGATATGTATGGATACAATTTCATTTCAATAATGTAACGAAGCAAGATCTATCAGTTAATCCAATTTAATTGCGATTTAGACACGTGTTTACTTATACTGAAAGAATCGTTGCTTCATTTTGCAATTGAAAATCTCGTGTTTATCCAACGAAAAACAGGCTAAATCAGTTTCTTAGCTAGGCTATATTAGTTTCTAGCCGTCAGTCGATTTTCTTCACCCAATTAACAAGATTGCCCATCCCTGTTTACAAAACTTTCTGATTAATTTAGCAATTCTTTTTCCTGAAATATTGAAATTTTCGGGTAAGTAAGACGATTTATCCAATGCAAAGTTTGATGGATTTTTGCCTTTTAGTGATGGTGGGCGATAATAAGAAGGAACAAGATGGCGAATTGAAATTCTTATGTTTCTCCAACGAAAAGTAGGCTAAATTAGTTTCTTATTTTCAATTAATGAGTTTGTTCGTTCATTTCTTACTGAGTTAGCAATTTTTTCCCATGAAATGTTGGAATTTTCGGTTGGGCAGGATGATTTCTCCAATGCAAAGTTTGATGAATTTTTGTCTTTTGGTAGTGGTGGACGATGATAAGGGGGGTCAAGATCTGGGCCAAGGTTACCCTGTTCCGACGAGGAAAGTCCCGTGGAAGGGGAGGAAAAAGAATGCAAATGCAGGTCGGGACGGTTTCTCTTTGCGCGGAAACTGAATCCGCCTTTCGATCTCGTTTTAATGGTAGATCGTTCGGAGAAATAAATAATAACGAGGCTCGGCGTAGTTAAATAATTGTTCTAAATAAAATCGTCGTAATGGCTGGCTATTGTGGATTTCTAGATACTTCTAAATATTCCATCTCGATATTCAATATTTTACACTAATTTATTTATCCATGGTAGACGAACTAAATCTTTTAAAATTAAAATTTAAAAGTTTTATTAACTTTTGGAATTATAATTTAAAAGTTTCGAAGTGAACATGAGAAAGTAAATCTGTTATGGTTTAATTCTCTGGAAGACAATTGTTATTTCGCTACAGGATACCGTATGGTGAGTAAATTTTCAGGTATCTAATGTCTAATTAATAAAGTATTATAAAACATGGAGTCAGATATGGAATAATAAAATGTTCCACTTTACAGTTTGAGGAACAAATCAGGCAACAGAAAGCTTTGAAATCAATTCGAAATAGTTTGTGTGTAAATTGCTGTCAAAAAAGGAATATTTTTTATACTCCTAAATTTGTGTACAATTTTAGAGTATCTATAACAGTAATTGCAATTAAATTCAATTGATATGGCATCTGTGTATTTTCTAATTGTAAGTAACTGCATAATTAATTCCTCGACAATTCCAAGGTTTATCAGTTGTATCAATGAATAATCCACTACTAGTGTACACGCCCGAAGAAGTAAAAAATCTCAGAAAATAAAAGAAAGATACTTTCACTTTAAAAGTAATAAAAAAAAAACTTTCACTTTAAACTGTATTGCGACACACGATTAAAAAAAGATAATGGATTACTGATTGCTGGCCTGCGGATGTTATTGAAAGTTCACATAATTTCCGGTCAATTCGTAAAAACTATTATCAAACAGTTGTGTATTTTCTTTCTCCAAGCGGTCTGTTCGAATCAAACGGCAAGGAAACGTTCGTATGTCCTACGCGCCTTTCACATTCGCGTCTTGCATAGGCATGTAAATGCACGAACATCCCATGGTTTATTCATCACTATATCTAATTTGAAATACCGAATAATTTGTACAAAATTGACAATTTAAAATTCTTTTGCAAGAATAAGCACCAATTGAGTGTTCTGGTACTAAAATTCGAAAAAATTCCAGAAATGGAGTCCAGTCACTTTGTCATTATTCTGTCACGATAACGATAAAAATTACAGAATCAATGTACATATTACAAATTATTTTGAATGTAGCACATTACTTTTACCAAATCTTTGTGGAATAATAATATTTTTCTCTTTCTTTAATTATCAGATCTGGTCCCATACTTTCGAACGATAGTGTAATCTTATATCTGGACCCCAAAGCCGGAGTGTATTAAGTCCACTTTTTAAACGAAATGACATTTTACATGTGTTCCGTAACAAATTTTTCACTCTCTCCGATAGTGAAAATGATTTCGTTCTCAGCCGTCTAGTTTTTAATATAGGTACATAATAGTCTAAAAATGATATTAAGTTCATATTTTTAAAACAATGTAAAGTCCATCACATAAGGGACTTAATGCAGTGTCCACCATTTTCTACTTATCCAGACCTTTCATAAATCCATTCAACAGTTGGAAAGTAGCGATTGTTCCTCGTAGAATTCATTCAAAATTACAACGATTTTGTACCTTCGATTTTCTCTCCCCTAATGTTTGAAAAGTGTGACTTAGTACACTCTGGCTCCGGGGGTCCAGCTATTCTTTTCCCATTTTCGAACTACAATATGGACGAGGTGCACACTATTATCGTGATCCACACGCGTATGTCACACACTTATGGTTCTCCACTTCCGTAGAAGAAGCGTACGTCCTCGAAATAACACTTTCCCGCCCCTTCTGTTCCGTTCTCCTCGACCATAATTCAGACCCTCCAAACCCCCAATGTCCCACCCCCGCCCCCTATCTTTTGTCAATCAATTATCTTTCTCAATCCTCTCGCGATCGTGTGTATCACGTTTATTTGTCGGGGTACGTACCGGCGATCAGAATGGCGGCTATCACGTAGTACGTCCTCATGGTTTACGAGTCCTCTCGCGTGTGTATACCCGTTGCGAACGTGTCCGTTACTTTTACTCCCCCGGTGTTCGGTTACGGTGTATACGGTGGATCGAAAAACGAAGATTAAAAACAACAAAAAAAAAGAAGGGAAATTAAATCACTGTTTTTTTTCGGCGGGGGGCACCAGGATCCACTGCGCAGAGAGAGAACTCTGTGTTTGCGCCCTGTCGTTCCTCCACCTTTATATAAGTGATACGGTCACGTGTTGTTCCTCTTCCACCTCTTTCACGGAACCTCCTTCTCTTCTCCTCGTCACTTCAAGAAGAGGTACTATGTACATTACTACGTTACACATGCCCCTCTCTTTCTCTCTCTGTTTCTCTGTCTTTCTCTTTTTCGTCCCGTCGCCCGATCTCCCTTTCTTTTTCCTTTATTCTTCTCCACTGAAAATGCCATCCAAAGACGACTTAACAGTAGGTCTGGTAATAACGTGTCCCGTCTCCGTTCGTTCCTCTTCTCCGCGCCTTGTCCCCTCTTTTTCCCTCTCTGTGTCTTTGTTTCCGTTCGCCCTGTCGCCACTGGCTTAAATACTCGAGTAAGTTTTTTTTTTGTATTCTCCACGTCGATATCTTCTGCATCGAGGATGGTCCGGTCTTTTTTTTGGTTTCTCTAATGATTTTTGGTTTTTTTGCTTTCTTTCGATCCTCGACGACGTTTGTTCCTGGACACACACACATGAGAAATTCGCTTTTTGGTTTTGGAGGCGATCAGGACCCTGCTTCTTCTGTTCCTAAGATAGAGACCGGAGTTTCAATAGAATAATGATACTTTGTGGGCGAGTCTAGATCCTTTGGTTAAGAAAAAAATTGGTTAGAAGACTTAATATTTGATATTTGTAAAAATTCAAATCTTTGTGGGCCAGTTTTTAAAAGCAGGAACCAGATAGAAATTTACTTTTCTTGGTCGGATGTTTTGTCAATTTCAAACGAAATTTATGGTTTTGTTCAATTTCATTCATCAATTTTATACGAAACTTATGATTTTGTTAAACTTTATTGAATATACATAAGAAGAATTTAGGGCAGTGTAATAAACGTATTATAAGATTGTTCGAAAGTGTTGCGAGTATAATCTATGTATGTGTTTTGAAGTTTTAGCAGTGTTACAATTCGATCAACATGGCGGTGATTTATATGAAATAGATAGTTGTGATCGTTAAAACTGATCAGTTCGATGGGACTTGCATTCAAATTATTTACCGTTCATATATGTACATTTGATCAAGCAGGTTTTTTTATCGCGTACAAAAGTCTCGAGTTTTTAAAAAGAAGCTGTTTTTATATAATAAGAGGCGCAAAGCAGGCAGATTTCGTTAATTTTTGTGGCAAATTTTGAAATTAAAATTTAATACAAAAAGAAGTTAATATTTCTTTGGTGGAAGTGTTAATAATATGTATTAAAATAAATTGGTTTATTATTTTATATTTATATAATGTCAGAATATGTAAGAAAATGTTAAAGAAGTTTAGAATTTCATAATTTGTTTGTCTTGGTAGTATTTTCGAAACTTGTACAAATGCAAGGAATATTTAATTCATGGCCAATAAAAAATGGTAGAATAGTAGATTTATTTTCAATTATACAATTCTTAATTACATTTTTAAATGTTAAATGTATTTTTTGTATTAAATATGACTATAAATAATGTTAATATTTTATAAAAAGAAATTTTACCGTGATGGAACTCCTAATGTTTTTTCGTTTTTGGTGATCCTTTTACGAGTGTATTGACTTCCTTTCGATTTCGAAAAAATCCTGTTCTATGACGTAAGAAGTGTTCGCAAAAAATAAATTATGCTGCATTAATAAAAGATCAGCTTCCTACATAATCTTACAAGAAAGTGGAATTGATTTCCAGAATTGCAGCACAATAAAATATCAATATGAGACAATCTAATGAATCAGATTTTCGAAATTTCTTTTCGTTGAATTACTGTCTCCGCGTATAGTATATGCAAGAATATAAATTTTTTGTTAACGTATTCTGCAAACATTTTCCATTACTATGTACAAATTATACAGAAGAGCAATCACTTGATGTTTTAAACGAATTTAGAATCTTTCTGAAGACAATTATTTAAAAATACTCCTTAATTTCAAGTTATTTATTTAAATTTTACAATTTATTTAGAAGTACGATAATTCAATTGGTGAATTGTTTAAAATGATGTTTTGCACTATCAGTTGTAGATTAAATAAAAGTAAATATTATATGTTTAAGAAACTTAATTATTTGATTTGATCAGAACTGATTTTTAGATAACTCTATGTAATGTTAGTAGACAACTTAAATGATTTCATAATCATAATAATGATCCATTATTTATGATATATGAGGCATTGATTTTTAAAATGGTGTAAATACACTCTCTCTTGCTTGTTTATTTGTAGTTTATTCGTATTTATTTGTAATTGTAGCGATCGTATTATCGTTGTTATTGATATTAGACTACACTAGTTTAAAAATAAACAGTTCATATATATTATTCATCTTACATCATAAATAATTGATTATGGTAATGTAAAATCAGGTTACTTATCATAAGTCCTTTTTTATTTGAAATAATTGACTTTTTCAATTATTATTAATTATTTGGTTCCTAGTACATTGAAAAGTTTGGAAGCGGTTAACTAAAATCTTAAGAAGTCAAGTTACAGATTTCTCATTGCAATTAAAGGTAAAGATAAACGACTTAAAAAATCAAGTTACAGATTTGCTTGCAACGAAAAATCTTTAACTTGACTTTTTAAGATTTCGTTTAACCGCTTCGAAACTTTTGGACGGTAGTGTCTATTACATTGAAGATTTTTATTCGACTGTAAAATCGTTTCGAGCAGTTAATCAGAGTGATCTGTCCTACGCGGCTCGTGTGGCCATCGAAATTCGTCGAATCTGTGCAGGTGCGACTGGTTTCGTACACAGCCGGCGTACCTGACCGGCATGGTCGCACGATTTGCAGAATATTGACCGATCGCGACGCGATTAAAATAATAATCGCTAAAGACCGGCCCGAGACTACGCGACATAAAATAACGGGTTAGGTCTGGAAGGGGACGAAGGTCGTGCACGATCAATGTGACTCACCGTGACACCCAGGTCCGATACAACACCACCCTGTTCAACATTCCGACAGAGGTTAGGTTCTCCGACAACCGCTGTTCGCCCCGGCTGTTACTTTAGTTTCGGTTCGCAATCGGCCAGAAATAGATCCCGCGAGCAGGATCCGCCAGGATATCTCGAATCCAGATATACCCAACGCGGAAAATTATTCGAAACTCGATATGTTCTTAAGGCCCGTTTACACGATCAAATAATTTCCGCAAACTAGTGATGGGCACCATCGACTAAAACTATCGACTTAGTCGATAGTAACCAACGACTACTTTCAGTCGACTAATTTTTTCAATCGTCGACTACTTTAGTCCCTTAAAGCGATTACTTTCAGGCGACTAATATTAGTCGCTTGAAGCGACTACTATAGTCGATTAAATTTAGTCGCTTCAAGCGACTCGCTCGAACTTCCGAGCTATTGATCGCTATTGACTGGATCTTGATTATTTTCTTCGCGATGCAAACCAATTGCAATTTTTTCATATATTTTTTTATGCATTACCAAGAACTGTGAAAATTATTGCTTATAACCTAATTGATTTTCATAAAAAATTTAGAGCAGTTAGTTTTTAAAGTGCCAATATTAAATAGCTTACAAAAAGTCGAATATTAGTAATTGTTTAAAAAAACTTGTTTACCAGTTATATTTTTGAAATTTTATCTATGAACTAATACATTTCTAAAAGGTAAATACACCAATGCTGCTGAAAAGTTGACGACATAATCTATACATAACCTATAAAGCAAAATTTCAGTCGACTAAAAACTATCGACTAAATAGTCGATAGTATGTTGCGACTAAATAGTCATTAGTCGATAGTTTAATTTAGTCGATGGTGCCCATCACTACCGCAAACTGAATTGCGCGTGCAAACGAGAATGGTCATTTGGACGCTTCGGCTCAAATCTTTTTCTGCCGTTCATCAATTCCAGTGGCGTTTGATAGAGTGTCACTTACTGAATAAAAAAATACATTGCGACAAATCTGTAAAATTTGGGGATTTACATTTTTATTCTCCCAAATGTGAATTTTTATAACGTTTTAATGCTTCAACTTATTGATATCAAACATTTTTTAGTATTATTACCTTGACATGGCCTCTTTTAGGTCACAATGATTTTTAGTCCTTTACGCCTTGTGGTCGGGATACATTTTTAAGAACTTTTCCCAGATAGCACATGGCGTCTTGAAGACGGCTTAAAGACGCCTTAGACCTAAAATAGCCATAAAATACGCGTCTTTAAAGCCTTATGTGCTATCTGGGTTAAGATATATCTTATTGAATTAAACTTAATTAAATGTTGCAAAAATGATTTTTGCAACACCCCTGTATTAAAGCATTATAAAATAGCTAGCTAAGCATTTCCAACTCTATGTATTTTGTGCCAAATATGCAAAACATTGCTTTCTAAAAGTTGTTAAAAATGTACCCCCACTATAAGGCGTGGAAAGCTAAGAATTACTGTCATCCAAAAAAGACCATGTCAAAGCAACAATATTAAAAAAAATTGAGATCAATAAGTTGAAACATTAAGAAGTCATACAAATTCACATTTGGGAAAATAGAAAGGTCAATATCTCGAAGCCCTCAAATTTTACAGGTTTGTCGCAATATACTTCTTTATTTAGTAAGTGAGGATTTACCAAATGCCACCGGAGCCGTTTCTGAATGCTAAAAAAAAATTGGGGCGAAAATTAATTGAATTGTATTCTATTCGAGGCCTGTTGACACGATCAAATAATTTCTGTAAACTGACTTGTGTCTTATACGTTCAGTCCACCTTGCACAGTTATTTAAATTTTCTTCATTGCCATCACATTGTATAGCTAGCACAGACTTCTATA